AGAATTTGCGAAGGCAGATGGAATGGGAGTGGATTCCCCAAACGTCTAATCAGAGAATCAATAATCTACACATATGAACACAGATCTATAAAGATTGAATTATGCAGGAAAAATAAGTTTTAAGCTTTGTTTCTCCAAAAATCAATGCTTCAATCATCCTGTCTACAGCATGTCTTCATAACAATCTTTGCACCTTTGCTTGTTCAATTTAATCGTTTTTCGTTACGCTTTATCATTGTTATCTATGCATGAAGTCAAAACATTTCGTCTTATTCTTGTATTGTATGAACATCTGTCATCCAAATAGACTTGAAAGCTATTTTTGATTGCCATAAATCTAATAAATCCAAACAAAATGAGTTTAGATTTTATCGTTTTTCTTTCGTTTTTATGTGTTCACATTTGGCATGAAACTTTGCATAGTTAGTTTTTTTTCAATGAAAATAGATGATCATCGTTAACAAGTAATGAGCGATACTTGTTGGCAGAGGTAGTTCTTGTCTAATTTTGTCATTTAATAGTATATTTTAAAGCAGATAGTCAGATTGTAAAAATGTGATTTTCAAAAATATCAACAGATTTTTGCATATCCTCTGAATACATTGGTTGCAAAAGAGCATTTCTGTAAGATTTCGAGGATCTTTCACACACTGACATTTCATTTTTATTTTGGGCAGTCAATTTTATTATCTATTGCCTTTTTTTACTTACTTTTCTTCTCACCACTGTCTACAGCACTACACAAGTCGCCAGTTACATTGCACTATATAACAAATGGATACTGATTAGAATTTAGATAAACAAGACAAGGAAAGCCACAGGGTAGTGTTGTTCACATGCTCGTTTGATTATTGTATGTAGAAAAGAAGAAAGGTTGTGAAAAACATGAACTAAAGCTACATTCATCTATAAATTGAGAGAATGTTGTAAATAAGACCTTGGTAATTACGTAAAAGGTTGTTGTGATTGTAGTAGAAGAATATGGATTTGCGATGATGATTGCCGTCTTACATTTATTTTAGTGAGTTAATTTCGTCGGTCATTTTACTGATGTAAGACTAGGATAAAGAGGTAGAATATAGTTCCATATTCGCCTTCTCGTTTGCACACGTCGCCTAGTTTATTAGTTCACTAGTTTATTAGCCGGTTCTAAGTTAGGAGTTGGGCAAGCAACCCTAAACCAGAAAATCAATCCGATAGCTAAAGAAAGTTCAAAGCAAAAAAATTTATAAAAAATAAACTGATTCCGCTCTGAAATCGGGGGAACGAAATGACGCCGGTTGGTGAAAGCACTCGGGAAGCCAGTTGGCCTATGTGTCTTCTCTTGATGAAACCAAAAGTAAGCATATGAACATGGAATATCCTTACCACGTTTGAAGCTGACTGGCTGACAAGGCTGGCCAGATTGCAAAAGGGATGGGAGGATGTGGCATAGAAGTGCTTGGAATCTGCGAGAGCAGATGGAATGGAAATAGACTCTTCAAACTGTTTACTGCAGTGTCAGTAATCCGTTCCAGTCACTCATACGGCAATCACGAGCACACTGAGTTTTGGACTGGCTATCATGATGTCCCCAACAGCATCGAAGGCTCTCAAGCAATGGGGACCAATCTCCTCCAGCATCAGGACCATGACAGCAGGATTCAACTCAAAAGGAAGGAAGGAAGATCACAATCATACAATTCTACGCTACGCACTTACAAATAATGCAGATGAAGAGAAGAAGGAGGAATTCTATAGACAACTGCTACCAGATGAATTTTGAAGATTCACCTTACTTATAAGGTGAGGTTAATTTGATGACCATACCCTAGGCCTGCATACATATATCAGAGACAAATGACACGTCCATGTCTCGAAATCCCTGAGTTCTGGGAAGCAATATTTGTTGTCCAGTTTGACATAGGTTTTCGGACGTTGAAAGCTCTTACATTATATCGAGGCAGAGTCTTCAGTTACTAGAAGTAAAGTTTCAATGGCTACGATCGTTGACAATGACTTAAGAGCGTGCGGTTGAGTAAGACGTATAGAGGGGAAAAAGAGAGGAAGCGAAGGAAATAAGGAGACATTTGAAGAGCATAGGTTATGTTAGATTGGTTTTGTGTACTCCTGGAAGTGTCTGACACGTTCTAACTGCCGATACCGTGTAAGGTTAGTTTTCCTTGAGGTACTTGTAGAAGAGAAAGATTTGTCCTACCCAGGAGGCCAAACGGCACCTACTTGAGGCCTGTCACATGCAGCCGTTTTAGGATTGTTGTTTCGAGTTTAAGTTGTTCTAACTTCAGATAGAGAAAACATACCATCAGCATTGGAAGACTGTGGGGCAGGGAGGAATGTGTTTTTAATTGGAGTCCAATCTTTTCTAATCCCCCTTTCAATGAGGAAATCACCATCGGCATGACAACGCCAGTCATCCACGGGGAATATTTAGCTACTTTCACCTACCAGCCAGCCAGCAGTAGGACTTTGCCCTCGGACCACATACTAATGTTGTCATTTGGACTACAATGGTAACTACTTTTCGTCTTAACACTATCCAGTTAACCCTTCTGCTATGGTATAACGGCGAGAGAACAAGGGTTCCAACCAGTGCACCTCGTTGGATCGTTGTGACATACAAGCTGGACCACTACATCATGGTAGCAGCTATCGGCCTTTATGTGTTGTTTTAGTCTTATTACATGAATCAGGTGTTCACGTGGGATGACATCAAGTAATTTTTTCTCACTGTGATAAATTAAGTTTAATAAACATTTCTTTGATTCCTGTCTTACAGTGGTGGAGTAATGAATGAAATCATTATAACTCTGCATTGTGTTGACAAAGTATTTTAAATGGCCACGTGATCTGATTTTGTGAGATGTTTTTCGATTTTCTCAGGTAATTCATATTTCATCCACCTTGGACAAGAAGTTCGTTCTTCAACCATTTGTAGCAACCATCAAATTTTAAGTGTGACGACTGACTCATTTTTCAGGAATAATTGAAACAAATGCTAACTATACAATTTTTATTAGTCTCCTTTCAATCATTTTTAAAATTTGTTCATATGAGCTTTTGCCGTTGAATTCAGTCAGTAGCATGCCTGTGGGATATCACTTTCATTTAACCACATGCTTGAGTTTAAAATCTGATCAAGGGATGAAATTTTTCTAACTTAGATGTAACCAATATTTCTGATGAAAAGCTTGTAGTTATGCCAACTGGATAAAGTTACTACATTATGTTTTACTGAACTCTTGTTTCCGAGAAATATTTCATTTTAAATAATAGGTTCAGATAGAGAAAGTAAGAAAAACTTACTTAAAATGTCATAGAGCCATAATGTAGTTTGACTAAGTGAATCCTGTCTCAAAATATCCTTTATTTTGTAAAACTGAAAAAAAGAAGTTATTTATTTGAATTTATATTTATCGTCTGTGACCAATCAACTACATATCTATCCCACATGGTAAGTTGTAAAAGTTGATAAATTTTGTCAAATCGGCGAGACTTTAGTAATCATTAGTGCAACTTCTACTTATTTGCCACTGGCCCCATCTGAATGTACAATACCCATTCTTCTAGTGAGTTTTGTCGCACATAGTGTTAAACAATTTGCATAATTCTCAAATTTCTTTTTTGTGAAGCAGTGCACATAAACAACCAAAGTATTTATTTGGGGAAACTCTCAAATAAGTTTAATCTAAAATAACCCGGGAAACTTATTTGAGTTATACAGCCCACCCACAATTTGAATCGAATACTGATCAAGTCAGTAAGTTTTCTCCTAAAAGTTTTCTTCGCAGTTCTGTATGTGCGTTTTGAAAAAGATTAACCTTATAATTTTATTTCTTCCTTTAGTACTGAGTAGATAGTGAAAGCAGATTGCCGTTCCCATCACTTAGCCTCTCTACAATACTTTCCTGACGCTAAACTGCTGAAGCGTATTGCGTAAGAAACTGTAAAAGTAAGTAGCATATTAATTTCGCAGTAAACACATGAATATGCCTGATAAGCGGTTAGCTTTTCCAGCCAGGAATATTTCTTTTACATCAAATGTATTTTAATACCATTATTAAGAGCAACCTTTTTCCTGTGTTAACTTCCTAAGAATAATATCTAAACTATGCAATAAAACAACTGGTATTATCAAGTTATCCCTTTGGTAATTGACACAGTCGGGCATTCTTAATTATTCCATCTCATGTTTTTTTGGATACACATCTCATAGACTCAAATCTACTGAACCATCATATCTGCACAACATCACGATCAAAGTGATGTGCCTGCTATGGATATTTTCAAACTGCTCAAGTTTTACTGTGGTATTTATACATGTGCATATATAGCTCTTTTGCCTCAACTAGGAGCTATCCAGAAGAGCTTACCAAGTTGTATTTACCTAACAGAGAGATGACAATCGATATCTCTTCCTCAGAAATAGGATTCTGCTTCAAATATTCATATTTTTGAACTATTTATGAAATACTGGAAGATAAAATAATGTTCATTATCAGTTATTATCATAAGTTTGATTCAAGTCGTATATTAACAGCAGTAAAAGGTGATTTCCATCATTCCATTTCACAAAATTATTTTATGAATAGTTTCACAATTGATATGTAAAAGTATAACAAAACACATATTTGAATGTAAAATATACAGTTATGCGAATATAATTTGAATAAGAAGAACATAGAAATTTCAGTTTGTTTTCTTAGAAAGTAGGTATAAATTTTACCAAAAAGAGTTAGGTTACGGCAAAATATTTTCAGGAAAATAAGCACTTTCTCAGCACAGTAAACAAACGAAAGACAGATTCGATGACGAAAGACACGTATGTATCATTTGTGAATTTCAAATGGCTTCAATATTATCATGAAAATTATCACAGCAAAATTGTTGAAGTAATTTATTGCAATGAATACTTTACTTCGCAGTCACAAACAAAACCGTATATTATACACACCAAGTAATGTTTATAAGAGTTTCATATCCATGTAACTTTTAGAAAGGAATTACAAAAGTCCATCTAGTTTTAAATTTCTTCGTATAATAACATCCGTAACAGCATCGAATACAAATTGTATATTAGTAGTATCTGTAGCACATGTAAAGTGTGTATAAATTTCTTTTGTCGTCTGCCTGTTGAGGGCTTCAAATTTTGTCTGTATATAAAGGCCAGCTTCCTGATAACTATTTTCTCCTAAAAATAATGATAATATTACTAAGCAAGACTGTTTGGAAAGAAAAAGATTGGTTATTATGCTATGCAAAGAATAGAATCATTTTAAAATGCATTTTTAAAACCAGGAGGAAAAACATTATGGTTTCGAGACGACTATAAGTTTGGCCGTAAAAACAAACACACAAAGCAGAATTTAGTGGATACTTATGCAACAGCTTGAAAATTCTTACAGCGTCTACTGTCTGAAAGTAAATAAACCTTAAGGAAGCATCCATCACGGACTGATATCAGTTGGAGAACCACTGGAAACCTGGGAGCACCAGACAGCTGTTTCGATTTAGTATGGAACCCCTCAGCAGTAATTACCCATGATTTGGCTAAGAATAGAAGTCACGATCTTCAGGTTTCGCGACTAACGCTTCAACCATTAAACTACTGAGATGGAGTTCAAAGGCCCACAGTTTCTTGCTTCGAGATGGGTATCCCGAAGTTTTTATGGGAATCTGTGACCTATGGAGTTAACCAGTAGGAAGTGAAGCGGATGCAAACTGAAGACCTTGAATGGTAATTGTGTTGTATCGTGAATTGATAGAAGTAGGAAAATGTGGAGCACTGAACTCTTCCTCAATAAATGAATGGTTAACACGTTCACCATGAAATCTAAAGGTACTGAATACGACCCTTAACTGGGTTGTGGGTGCATACTGTTGAAGTCTAATACTAGGACGAAGCAGATGTTCAGTGCCCATAGATTTTTTAATGGTTCTCCTGCTGATCTCAGTCTATGATGAATTCCACTTTTAAAAATTTCCATTAACCTCAAAATACACTAAGAAAACTTTGTCACGAAATTTTTGTCATCTGAGCGTTATTTTCTTATGTATGTAATATGCGCGCTTCACTAGCAGTTAGCGTGTACATCAGATACCACCAACTTCGGACTTGCAAGAGAAAGTAGACAGAAGAAGACTGGTCTAGAAGGCTAGGCCTCCGAGAAGAAACTAAATAACCCTAAACACATGTGTATAGACGCATGATATGTGAGTTTGTCCCGAGTTTTGAACATTGACGTCAGAAAAGCAAGCGTTGACCCCTGAACGAATTAACTTGAAGAAGGGGGAAATAAACTACAGGCCAAGATGTGAAAAGGGCGCGAAAATGGTAATTTAAAATATATAGACTAATAAATAATGTAAACAAATCTGAAGTGTCCCAAAACTGAGTTCTATCGTACACATACTTCTAATTTATTGACTAAGAATATTTCGTGCTAAGTAGGGGAACTGAGACCGAGAATCGAACGTAACCTTGTCACAAGCATGCATTGCCCTAAATCTGGTTACGGTGAGCAGTGCACAACATTGAATATCTGACATTGTAGTTGCTAAGATGAACTTTGCTACCAATTGTAGAAAAGCATACAGTAGGTACTTGAATTGTTCACATTATTGAGTACTAAGCAAGGATTTGAAGTTCCAAAAGTGTTTACAAACACATGTGTTGTTTTAGTCCATACTGTCAAAGACTAACATAAAAAAATCGCTTATGTACAATTAATTCTCACTTAAATATAATTTGTTCGTTAATATCAAACATCAACACCTTCAGTCACCTCCTTACATAAATATATTAATGGCTGTCAAACTATGATAAAGCTTCGATTGCTAATGCGAGTTTTTAATACATCAAAGGATATCGGGAGAAAAATGGTGATCAAGAGGTATTTCGTTAAAAGCATTTCGAAAAACTCCTTGAGGCTTTATTGAGGAGTTTTAAGCTGACAATAACGCATCTGAAAGATAAAACTGACACTGTATAATGGGTGCATAACATATATTGCAAACTGAAGAAAGTTGAAGTGAGAAAATCACTGAATTCCAGTACAACTAAAAATAAATGTTTTAGGCATCATCTTGTATGTGACTGGATACTCACATCTATAAGAGATCTCCAGTTATTAGATGGTTGTTGGATGTTTTCTGTTTCCGAAAAACATTTTTCAACCTGATTTCAGCTAGTGGTGACATTCATGCAATAGTTTTCGGTTTCACTCGACCACACTGTGAATAATGTTGAAACTACAAAGTAATGAGTGACAGCAGGATTGATAACATGTGAAGTTGATAGAGTCATTACTAATACCAGTACTCTTTAAATCACGTATACAGAACAGCTAGCATGCTATCTTCAATGACACTAATTCCTGATGATTTTCAAGATCTTGGACTCGAATCCTCAAAATTCAAAATGATGTTAGGATAAGAATGTAAACGTTCAGTCTTGAGAAGTAACATTTCCATAAATTGAATATTCATCTGACATCACATTCTAATGTCGTGATCAGATTTTAATTCATGAAGTAACCTAGAACTTCTGCCACATACGACTTGGGTAGCATTATACATCACCGTTTGTTATCAATCCAAAAAACGCTAACGAGATATGCCTAATATGACACCGTGACGATATCATAAACTTAATTCGATACAAATAGACCTAAGTAAATTGATTCAAAAGAGTTAGTAATACGGCAGTAAAACTTAGGTATTGTGGAATAATGTAACTGTACAGTACTCTACAACAATGCAATACAAAAAACGCACCTCCAATACACTACGTAGGGTTCTCAGTAAGGCCGAGATTAGAGTAACATTTAGACCTACAAAATCACTAAGAAATAAGCAATGTAGGTTAAAAGACCCTGTTGATCCAATTAGACAGAATAATTCAGTTTACAAAGCCTCTTGCAACGCCCGAGAAGGCAAATACATGGGTCAAAGTGGCCAAACAGGATCAGTTAGGCAGATCGAAACTGGCAGATCCTAGTAAGATAAAGGATTTGGAAGAAGGCTCAGCTATAGCTATGCATGCGATTGCACACATCCAAACAATAGGATGGGATAGGGTGAAAATCCTTACAACTAACATAGCAGGGTAGAGGTATGGATAATAACCAAGTCTTTTTATCTAACCATCACCTAGTGCATGTAATAGGAATGAATCAGCCTCCTTTTCGGATGCAAGAAAAATCCTACTACTTATATCACAACTTAGGCAAGATAACCAGAACTATATAGACCAAGTGTCAAGTTTGGGGAGTTATTTTTATGTGACTGTGGACAATAAACTGTGTCCAAAAAGCAATCCAGTAAATAATACTGTTCCACCGTGTGACACATCTAGTAAGTCAACTAAGATGGAATTCAAAAGAGTAACATTTTAAATCACATCTGATAAATACATAAGTAAACTTTGAGATTTCACAAAGAAACATTTCATTAACGCACTAAATATGCGCATATGTCAAAGTCCAAGATTACTTATAGCACTTACCTTTGTTCGTTATTTCAAAAAAAACTGTAAAGATAATCACTTGAGTTTGTAATATAAGCATACTTGAGTTGCTCAAGCCACTATGTAACTTCTATGTACTTTAAGATTGCTTTTTTCCCAATAATACGTTAGGTCTTTATTCTACTGGTTAGTAGTTCACAGTCTTTTTTGCTTTTCGAAAAATATATTCATCCATGTAGATTTAGACATTTTAAAATTAGAGACAATGAATTTTCACAGCAATGCACTTATACGAAAATTTGTTGAAAACACCTTCAGAGAAGCGGTTAATGGCATTTTCCCGCGAAAGCATGATGAATATACTTAGAGTCGAAAAATAAATTCCTTCACTTTACAATCTTTTCAGGCTAAATATGAAGGCAAACGAGATAAAATAACCCACCGAACAATATTAAAAACCTACATGAATCATTACCATTTTCTGAATATTTACAGCATCTCAGTGTATATATATATATATATATATATAAGGGTAGACTGGAGGTAGAGATTACTTGACTTCTAAATGCCCTGTAGCCAAATTATTACGTCAGTTCGTGTCGAGTCTTTAAGTATGACAGCTAACGCAGAACCTGGTATTAGTAATTCTATTTCGAAAATACTGGTGAGCACTTGATTTATTAGGATTTGAAAGCATTGTATCAACCCATTTGAGCTGTTGTATAACTTATGTAGCAGTTAGAAAGGCTAAATTTATCTGTAAGTATTACCTCACTTGATAATCCAAGTGTTTATTACATTGCAGTTGGTGATTAACTTTATTGACGATAAAGTTTTGGTCAGTTTTTGGATTCTGGATTTAAGCTTTTTCTGTTTCTTAGGTCTGAAAACATAAACGTAGGTTACGTTGTTACGCTCTCACCAACAACTTTTAGACTGGTGTAGCTTCAATTATCAACACTTTCAACTATAATACAATCATAATGAGAATTAGTTTGTATTCTTTCAGAAAATTCATTTACATTTTGTGAACAGTATCAAATGAAGTAAGACTTGGGTTTATTCTCACGAAAAAATCAAATTTTCTCTGCTTCTTTACAAATGGACCAAAAAATGACTTGTTGGTGTCAGTTAATCCTGTCATCCAATGAAGGTGAATAAATGCTACTTTACCGTAATGTAGAAAACTGGGTAATATAAATGAGATTTATGACATCAAAATAAGCAGATTGGATTTCCCTCAAGAGGTAGAAGGTGGTTATTACAATCGCATCATTTAGGCGACTTTATATTGATGTTTTAATGTGCTAATGGAATAGATGCTTTAAAATATTACACAATGTGCCCTGAGTGACTGAAACCAAGTCTTAAATCTCTCAATGTTCCTGTTGTTTAGTTGTTGTATATTTCTATCCCTATTTATATTAGTTAGGTAATTTTGTTGAAGTTATACGTTTTTAAGTATGACGCTGGAGACGTTCTTAGTAGCATAACATTTTAGGTATTTGAATGCTTTCAATGCAATTACGAATACGAGTATATAGGAATTGAGAACAAACCTATTTTACTTGAGCTTCTTGAGGTTTATATGACCTCATACTTTAAATATCTGTTAATTTGTTTTGCCTAGTTACATAGAGTGCTTAGAATATTTTCTAATCCTACCTTAATAACACTTGAGGATAAGAATATGATGATGTTTATCATAACGCTGACAATAACAA